TCTCTTTTAAAAGCATAAAGACCAAATAGGTTTAACAATAAAATGTGAAATAAGGTACATACAACCAACTTAAGTATGTGAAACATAACCTTATGGTGAAAATACCAACCTCAACTTAATGTGGAGATAATGTTAATAGATAGTATAATTAACTATATAAAATATAGCCATTAAAAATTAGTCGCCTAGACTGTAATGAGGCTAAAACAAATCACAATAAAAAGATTAATGAAAAAAAGTCCTCATTTTAGGAAAAAAAACCTTTACATAAAAATTTGGAAATGCACATAAAAACTGAAATTTTTCCAGTTGTCTTCTAAAAAATGTGTTTTTTAAAAAGATTTTATTTATATTTTCAGAGAGGGGGGAGAGAAACATTGATCGGTTCCCTTTCACATGTCCCCAACCAGAGACTGGCCCATACCCAGGCATGTGCCCTGACAGGGAACCGAGTTGGTGACCGTTCACTTTGCAGAATGATGCTCAACCAACTGAACCATGCCTGTCAGGGCTACAAATGTTCTTAAATCAACAATTTAGATTTATTGTTGAAAGCATTTTTAATTTTGTTAAACACTGTCACCCCAGTAAATTCAACAGAAAGGAAAAAAACTTTTTAGCGTTTAGGAAAATTTTTAAACTGTTCAGTGACCTAACAGTTCCGAAGTTATCAACCTAAAACTGATAAAAATAAAAAATTAATATGACAGAGGTACTAGGGTGCTGGTAGCATTCTCTATGTTGACTTATATCCTGGTTATGAGTATATATATATTTGCAAGACTTCATCAATGTGTACACATAAAAGTCATGCAGTTTACTACATGTTATAGTTACTACCTAAAAGCTCTACATTATAGCCAATTCTAAATTCGACCCCATGGTATTCAAAAGCTGTTCAATGAATATTAAGTACTTATGACTGAAGTACATGTGGTATTTGGGATTAGTTTTAAGAAATTGTAGGTGAGGTTAGTTTAGTTTTTAACAATTTGTTTAACTCAAAAATCTGTTAAGTGATTAATAGGGCAGGATTCCCAAGTACTTGTTTCCTATGCTATGTATTTTTGTATGTTTGAACTTCTTTAATTTTTAAATAAAATGGTTTCAAAGCATGTTGATGATTATTCATAGGTTACAACAAATTCCAAAGGGACTACAAATTCTTTTACTCGACAAGATTTAAAACTTTACATACAGAAGCCATCTGCTGGGGCTTAGAAATCTTACTGCAGGCGTCTTTCGTTTAATGGAATTTCGCCTGCAAAGTTTAAGTCTACGACTTAAGCAAAGCAGTATCAATTTACCTCTCCACTGTTCCTGTAGGGGTCAGTCCTACAAAGTGACAACTCCTGCAAAAGAGAACTGAACCAAACAGCATCCCACAGCCTATTTTCACTGTGATGCAGGAGTACAGCACCAGATTACTCTATCTGTTTTGTTTAGACCAGTAATCAGACCTCAAAAGTACCAACTCTTACCTGGAAAATGTAAATTAAAATTAACTATAAAGAGATACAAACATTTCTTTGAAAAAAATGAGTTCCTCTAATGTCAAAGATTTGAAAGTAAATTTAATAGCGAATTAAGAAATGTTGGAGAAAAAGGGGGCGTGACCACTGATAGTTTCTTTTAGAGGTGAAGAGGACCTAAAAATGATAGTGGTGATGGCTGCACAACACTCTGACTATATTATTTTTTTAATTGAATTTATTGGGGTGACATTGGTTAATGAAATTATATAGGTTTCAGGTATACAATTCTATATAATACATCAACTGTATAATGTACTATGTGTTCACCAGTCCAAGTCAAGTCTCCCTCCGTCACCACTTAACCTCCTATACGTTCAACCTCCTATACCTTCTACCTTCCCCCACTCCCCTCTCTCTCTGGTAATCACCATGCCTTTGTCTGCATCTACGAGCTGTTTTTGTTTTATTTTGTTTTGCCAAACCCCTGGCCTTTTAACCCAGCCTAAAACTCCTCGTCTCCAACCGCTGTCAGTCTGTTCTCTCCCTATGAATCTATTTCTATTTTGTTTGTTAGTTTATTTTGGTCATTAGATACCACATACCAGTGAAACCATACAGTACTTGTCTTTCTCTGATTATCTTACTTCACTTAGCACAATGCTCTCCAGCACTGTGAATATATTAAAATCACTGAATTGTAACTTTAAATGGATGAACCACGTGGTAGTAGAGTACAGCATATCTCAATAATCCTATTATTTTAAAAAATGAATTGCAAAATATGACAAAGTATTCCTAACTGTTGGGTACAAGTGATAGGTACCTGTTGGTGCAGGGTAGCATTTTCCTTACTTTTGATTTGTTTGAAATTGTTCCTACTTTGAAGACTGCTCCCCCCCTTTTTTTTTGATGGAGTGCACTTATAAATTAGGAAGGTGCTCTTACATGTATGAGTACAAATATGCTGAACATTATTTTTCGTCTGAAAAAATATATAGTTTTCCATATAGTTTTCTTTCTTAGGAAAATGATTTTCAAATGTGATAATCCCACCAATCCTTTAAAAACTAACTTCTCACATTTCTATGTTTGCAGGACAAAACTAGTTAGATTGTTCCATTTGGGAGCTCGATACCCCAAGTGAAATGTTTTAAATAGTTTGAGGCTGTGTTAAATGGGGTTATGCAAATGTCAATAATTGGGTTTTTCCTTTTTGTCTAAGCCCTCAATTCCTTTAGGAAACTACTGTATGCATCTTAGATATATTCACTGCCAACTAAATAAATCTTCTAAAAGAGTTGTCTAATCTGGCTAAACAGTCTATCCCAAGTTGTTTAGAATGTGCATTTTGGAAAAAACACTGATAAGATTTCTATCGGCTATTTTTCCATGTAACAGTACTTTACTTGTGTTCCTTAACTGAATCACTTAATCCTACAGTATACTATATATAGTATATACTATGTAGTATAGTGACCTCCACTGAGAAACTGAGGCATATATGAAATAAATATCAAGCTCAAGGTCACAAAGACAACAAATAATGAATCCAGGGTTTGAACCAAGGTTTCCTGTCCTCTTTTTTAAGCATTATTTTTAACTGCCCACTCAACTAATTACCAGAAGTGAGCTGAACTTAAGGACTGCAAAGAGCCTCTTACCTGTATGAGTTCGAACATGTTGGACATAATTGTTTTTTCTGTCTGAAAAATAGTTGCATTTTCCACATGTGTATACTTTCCTTGGAAAATGGTTTCTCAAGTGTTTTCTCCAGTGATATTCGCTTACTGTGGTGTACGTGCAAATGATGCACTTGTAGACTCGTTCATTATCCCCAGCTCTGGTGTGGTGTTTCAAGTGAGCAGTATAGTGATCATATCGATTGGTATTGTAGCCACAGCGGTCACAGCGAATGGGGCCCTTGGAGAAATCTCCCTCTTCTGCAGTGGAGGAGCCAGATTCCCTGGCTTTTGCTTGCTTCTCTGCACTTTCTTCCACAAAAAACTTCTTGGCACTATGAACTCTGATGTGATGCACAAACTGTTCTTCAGATTCTGCTTCATACTGGCAAGGCTTACAGCGAAAGGGTTTGGTCTTCAAGTTTTTGCATTTGTCCTCTGCTCCAGGTGTTTCAGGAGGAAGATCTTTATTTGAGCTATAAATTTCTGGGGCAGCTGATACCTCAAACACGGGCTGTGGTTCTGCAACACTAAGTTCTAAACTTTCCAGTTCCATGTTTGCCATTCCATTGGGTTCACCTTTTATTTCAGAAGACTCCTCGAGTCCTTCTCCATCACTATCTGAAAAGTTGTTATCCCCAACAGGCATCAATTCTGCCATCTGTCTTTCTTCGCCAACTAGGTAATCACAGCAGCTGCCATTTACTTCCCCAGTTAAGGCCACATTTGCCAACATGATAAGCTGAGGAGCAGCCAACTCAGCTTTGGAGAGGTCATGCAAGTCATACACATCGTTAGGCAAGGCCATGCCAATGTTGCCACTGCCGTTGAACAGCGCTCCTCCTCCAGAAGACTGCCCCATTACCTGGGTGGCCATAACTGTACTCTGAATTCAAAACAAAACAAAAAAAAAAAACAAAACACAAAAGCACCAGTTTAAATACCACTCTTACTGGTCTAAAACCAAAATATCACTGTAATTACTCATAACTTAAAAAAAAATACATTTTCCAATATAATCTTGAAGTTCAATGAACTTCATTAACTATTAAAAATAAGCCTTTAAAATCTTTTTTTAATCGCAAATTCTCTTTACTGCATCACCAAAAAAAATTCTATTACCCCTCAGAAAAAGTCTATCAACTGTTTAACATGTCTCATCTATCAACTAGGTTTACCACTAGGTTTTCTGGTAAAGAAAAATCATTAGCCTTCATTTTTAATGTTAATTTAAATTGTTCTTAAAATTCAATACATGAATAGTAAATTGTTAGTCTCTCAATTATCCCTTCAACCTTTACTGGTCTGAATCTGAAAGAAAAGAAATCCAAAAGCCAGACAAACATGTCTCGAAAGTAGAAGCTTGTAATAACTGGTCAACTGAACAGAAATTCACATTACCTCAATTAACGTCAGAAGAGTAAACTACTGTGAAAAAGTATCACTTACGGTAGTTTCTTTTTTTTTCTGACTTGTCCTGTTTAAAAGGGAAAAGAAAAATGCGAGCTTTTCCCGTGAAAAAGTTTGGTGTACTCAAAACTTCATAAATGACAACAAAGAATCTTTCAAAACACTGAATAAAATAAAATAATCATACAACTCGACAATCAGCAACTTTTTTGGATCGTGTTTGATTTGGCCTACTTGCCTAGTGGAAGCCATTACAAGATCACCTTCTTAAGAACATGTTGGGCCTTTTAAAATCGTCTTAACCAGGTTCCTTTCCAACCTTTGGGTACTATTCTCAAAGGAGATGTTCTCTTACAAATTACACAAAGTACTAAAAAAGTTAAACCCAAAATGCAAAAAGTAACCCGTTTCACCAAAATGTATAAACACAAACCGGATGAGTTACACGTACCAACAAAAGTTGGAATCAAATGCCATCACAGAAAACAAACCGGAGAGCAAAAGCTGTCCCAAGGTTTAACAGCCCGGGCTACTCGGTTATTTAACCAAACATCGACTTTTCTAGTATCCCCTAAAATCCTAACTACCATCCCTAGAGGAATTTTAACGTTTGTCAGGAAGACCATTCAAGCAAAGTCCCAAAGCCCAACGTGTTGCACGAATTCCTATGTGCTCCTGCCACCAGCGCCTGCCTCGGCGGCGGCATTCCTGGCTGAAATAGGCATTCGGCCATTTTCTCAAAATACCAAACACAAAGCAGCTCTTTGCAAACTCGGGCGCTCTCGCTTCCTCTCGGCTCGCCCCGCTCACTGCACACATTTACAAACCAATACATGGGAGTTGCCCCAACACTCTTCCTGAAGTTTTCCTATGCTCCCCAACACTAAAAAGGGCAAGGGGGGCCAACTCGGGGTGCCGTTGGGTCAGACCAAGTCTTCCCCAGTCCAGCCCCTTCTCTGCCCCTCGGGCCCGCGTCTGGGAAGAGAGCAAAGTTACCGCGTCGCCGGAGTCCCCGGCTCCTCGCACTGTCCCTGGGGCTCGCCCTCCGCAGAGGGCCTGGAGGCTCCGCGGGCGCCCTCCGGAGGCGTCGAGCCCCTAGCGCCAGAGGGGGGCCCCACGCGCGCCCACCAGCCCCCGGAAGTTTGCGAACTCACTCCCCCACGGCGCCACGCGGGACGCGCGCCCCAGCCGTGCCAGCTCGGGCGGCAAGGTGGCCGTGCGCGGAGGGCCGCGGCGGCGAAACGGCCCAAGCGCAGAAATCGCTGTCCAGCCCCATTGGCGGAAACGCCCGGGCCCCAGGGCTGACTCAACCCGCCCGGCCGCACTCAACGGCGCCTTCCGGCGAAGGGAGAGGCCGGAGAGGGAGGGGGACGGGAGGGCCGCAAGCAGGCGAGGGGCTGCCGCGGGACCTGAGAGCAGCAGGAGGGCGAGGAGGAAGTTTCAGGACTAGGGCCCCAAGCAGCTCCACTCCCCGGCCCCAGAACCCGATTCTAAGGCGCATAGGGGCCCGCGCGGAGGTGGAGGCCGGCCTCCACTGGGGAAGGGGTTCAGGCGCCGCGCCGCTCCCCACGGACGCCCCCGGCCCATCCCCCGGGCCGCACCAGTGTAACCCGATCCCGCTCGGCCACCCGCCCCCGCCCGGCGCGGCAGCCGCCGCCGGAGCCACAGTATCTGCAAATCAGCCCTGGACAGCGCCTCGCTCCGCGTCCTTCCGCGCCCTCCCCCTCCCGCGGGCGCCGCCGCCGCCACTACCGCCCGGCCGGCCCTCCCCCACCCCCGCGAGCGAGCCCCCAGCCTCGCGCCACGCTTACCGGCCTTCCTCTGCGAGGAGGGACTGGGTACCCGGCGTCACCGCTCCTTCTCCGACTACTTTTCTTTGTTGCTGGAGTTTCGGGGGAGGGGAGAGGGAGAGTGGAAAAGTTGGGCGCTGGGGCCGTCGAAGCCCGCGAAGGCCCAGGAGTGGGGTTGCAGAGAGTACTCAGACTGCCGGCTATCGCCCTGCAGTCCCGGCCGCCACCACCGCCGCCGGGGTCTGGGGCCCGGGGCCTCGGCGGCGCTTGCTCTGTTGCTGCGCCGCGAGCTCGCGGGAGCCGCACATTCCAGCACAGGAGGCTGCGCTGCGCACCCAGCCCGCGCCGCCGCTGCCTCCCGCGGGACACGCCTCCTCCTCCGCCCGCGCGCGCCCGCGGGACACGCCCACTCTACCGCCCGCGCGCGTGGCCGCCTGGCGCGCCCCGCCCCTTGGCGAATTGGGTAGCGCTGAGCCAAGGCTGGGCTAGGGGCGCGCCTAAGGGCAGCCTCACCTAATCCGCCCGGCCCCTCGCTCTCGCTCCTGGGTAAAAAAAAAAGAAAAAAAAAGCGAGTTCTGCTCCCTTTCTTGATTCCTTATTAAATAAACAACAGAAGAGTTAGCCCCCAGCCTACGCGTGCATGCATGAGAATAGAGCCGTTCAAAGAAAAATCTACAGTCTTTAACCGTCCTCTTTAGAACTATTGTCACCCTCCTTTCAAGTCTAAAGCGCTGAAAGATACCCTTCAGAATCTCTTCGAGGTTCCACCCATAGCCAACCCTTGACTACTGAAACTTGGTTTTAAGCTTCTACGGTAAAAATGCATTCCAAATTTTAAACAATAAAAGAGGAAAATACAAGCAGTTCCTGAGTAGTGAGAAGAAAACGTTTCAGGAAATCGAGGACTCGAAACCCAATGAGTGATGAGGAGACAAACAGGTAGCTCATGTAGCAGGTAGCGATCATTGCTGAACTTTCTAAGCACGACTTTAGTGGAGCAATTACCCTCAGATTACAGAGGGTAAAGAGGGTGATGCCTAGGACAGAGAGGCTGCTTGGTGGCCATGTGTTGGAGAATAACCTGGCTTCCCAAGTTTCATGGGGTCACCATGCATAATGTCTAGCACACAGTAATGTGCTGAGAGAGAAAGTGGGGGAGGGGTGAAGATTCATCCACCTCTTTACGTATGCATCAGAACTGCATTCTTAGTCTGTCTTTGATCATTGAAATCATAACAGTCCTCAGAAATTTAGTGGCTCCCATAAACCGAGTGTGGCGTAAGGTTAGTCAAGGCCCTGATTAACTTATCGAGATAAATTGGACTATCACCAATAATATAATAGTAGTGGAAAGTAGGCGAAGGGGACCTTCTACAAAGTGAAAACAGCCAGCTCAAAAACCCACCTATTGAGACTTCCTCCTTCAGCTCCCCGGGTTCCTTTTAAGTTCCTTCAGTTGTTTTCTGACTAAAGAGCTTCCAGCCTGCTAAATTTCCTGGTCTATTAATTAATGCAGCATCTTTATTAATTCTTACTATCAAATGTAAGCTCTCCCCATGAATCGAACTTTAGAAATATTAATTTTCATTGAACCAAAGAAAAAAAGGAAGGGTCCTGGCTAGTGTGGCTCCGTTGACTGGCTGTGGTCCCCCAAAGCAAAAGGTCTCAGGTTTGATCCCACTCAGACCCTGTGCCTGGGTTGCGATTCAGTCCCCAATTGTGGCGTGTACAAGAGGCAACCAATGGATGCTTCTCTCTCACATCAATGTTTCTCTCCCCCTCTTTCTCCCTCCCTTCATCTCGCTCTAGAATCATTTTTTAAAAATTTTTTTAAAGAAAAGAAAGAAGGAAATACAGAAAGGAGGAAGGAAAAAATAAAAAGGGAAGGAAACATTTTTAGGTCTCGTACAAACTTTTCTACAGTCATTCTCTTTTAAAATTTCTGGCTTTTGTTTTTTGGGTTTGTTTTTTTTTAACTAAAATCTAATTTGAGGTTGCACTGCTTTTTTAGATGCTGTAGTGCAGGGAACAATTCTGGCCTCTACCAAAGACCTCAAAGACAAACATTGTTTTCTTTCCCCTTTTTATGTCCAAAAAGACAAAAATTAAACATCTCTTTTTAAATTTATTAGATAAACTGTCCTTCATTTCCTCAATCTGCCTGCTTACTGGAAATGTTTTATTAATTGCAAATTTATTCCCACATATGGTGATGCAAATAGGAGAATGGCAAATTGGCAGCCGTGTTCATTTAAAATTAGCAGAGGCCCTTGTTCAAGAAATGGCATATTCAGAGTGACCCAAATTATCATGACATCAATGCCAAGGTCAAATTCCAGGCCAGGTTACAAATCAATAGAAAATTTCCTTGGGGGAAGCTGGTGTTATGAACTTGAATTCTTAGTTGTTTTTCAAAAGGCTGTATTTTATTCTGCTGCATCCAAAATTTAAGATCTTCAAGATAAGGCTCTGAAATGTGAATGAGTTCTGGCTTTCTTATTTTGAGAATATAGATGCTTTCCTATATATTTAATTCATCTATTTTAAATTTTAATTATCATATGTTCTTAATAATATTTTTCTCTAGAGACTTATTTTAAAAGTTTGGTAAAATACAGTTTTTGAGCTTCATGTGCTTTTTATTCCTAACCATGTTTGATTTTTTTGTCTTTAGAAAAAAGCATATTTTCTGTAGACCTACATCACTGGAAACACATCAAAGAGTACCTAAATATGTTGTTTCCTTTATTCACAGAACTGTTTGTTAGATCTGTGAACTATTAGTTACCTGCTAAAACTATGAAAGCTTTAATATTCAAGTGTTTTTTAATCTTAGGTTGGCATATTCCGAAGATCTGTACAATTCTAGAGTGTGATAGCTTAGGAGTAAAAGTGATTTGAACTTATTCATGTTTAGAGGATGTCTGAAATTGAGAAACAGGCAGATACATGTACTCTGACCCTAACCATGGCCCTAAATTAAAGTGCTAGAAGAAACTTGGTCCCAACAATTAGAGGCGGGGAATTTTTTAAAGTATGTCCGTATTCAAGTGGAGATCAAAGAAGCCCCACTGAAAGAATTGTGGATGACTTACATGACAACTGTGGATTGAGCAAAAATTATTTTTAAAAGGGATTAAAACTCAAAATTGGGAGGAACTAACTAAGGCAGAGGAAGGAATCACATGTGAAATTCTTTAAATAAAAATTTATTAATTTTAAATAGTTGTGCCTATGTGACACATAATTTTAAAAAAAAGTTTACTCTTTTAAAAAAAAGTGGTTAATTTGACTGAATCACATTAATGTTTCATTGAAGTTAAATTATCTGTGTTAAATGTTACACCTGACTCAAGGCTTGTGTAGATTAAAAACTGGGATACACATCTTCATCCTGATGTTGAAAGATTTCAGTTACACTCTTGCTGTCACCAGCCAAAGAGAAGACATTGGTCTGTATAGGACTAACTTGTGGGGCTTTTCTCCCATTCTCTCTACATTTCCAGTAGTACCTGTCACTGCTCACACCTCCTGAAACCTTGTTCCAGTGTAATTGATCCTGCAGGATGGAATGCTGGCTCTGAAATTTTGCACAATTTCTGTTTCTCACTTAGTTAACAGTGAACTTAAAACACAAGTTAAAATATTGCTTCACTTTCTCTGTAACCTTATTCTGAAACTTACAGTAAGTTACCGTAAGGGTAAAAAAGGTTGTGATAGAATAACAAATGCACCGGCCAGGTAAACTAGAGGCCTCTTTCTCCCTGTGTTGCTTTAACAAGTCACTTCTCTTGAGTTTTCTCTGTAGGATGCAGAGCTTGGACTAGTGATGACTAAAATTCTCCGGAGCTTAGAAATCTAGGGGGATTTTTATTCTGTTTGAAATTTCTAATCATGTGCAGTTATCTTCTAGGACAATCATATATAGTTAAAGGTCAATATATCTGGCCTCCTTAGTTTCTTTTGTATAGCTCCCTTCTGCCCTCCCTGGAGACCCATCAGTAGGCCCAGAACCACACTGGCTTCAAAATGGATGATGTCTGAAGACAGGGATTTAAAGCCTGGTCTAGGTCTATTTTACATGCAGCATCATCTACCCTTACAACCAGTTGGCCCCTGACCTTTTGTCCTGGCTTATGATAACTGAAACACTGTATCTTATTCACTACCATAGCTGCAGCTTGAGCCACGGAGGTGGTTCCTAAATCCTGAGAGGAGGGAGGTGAACAAGGAAGTTTCAAAATGAGCTGGGCTCCTTTCTGCCTTCTTGCAGAGCCCAGGCCACATTTGGAACTACTCTCTCCTTATTCCTCTCCCCGTCAGCCCCATGGGCCTCCTTGAACCCTGGCTACACTCCCAGCTCAGGTCTTTGTTCTGTTTACTGTTTCTTCCCTGAAAGACTATCCAATTCCTCTCTGTCCATGCTGCTTGCTCATTCCCTCCCTTCCTTGATTCAGGTTGTCACCTTTTCAGTGGCCACACTATTTAGAATTCCCTGCTTTGTTTTTCTTATTAGCATTTATCACTAAAGTGTTATATAATTTATTTACCTTATTTAATACTTATCTTCCCTTACTAGAACTTAAGATCCAGAGGGCAGAAAAATTGACCCATATCTCCAGTGCCTATAACTTGGTAGTTGACAAACAAGTGTTTGTTAAGTGGTACAGCATCCCTGATTGGTATCACAGTCTTTCAAAGAAGGGATCCCATCCCCATGTCAGAATGCCCAGTTAGTATTCATCACAGAAATTACCTCCCTCATGGTAAATATTAGCCAGCCTCCTTGAGATTTTTTCTAAAATATCCCACTTTCAACCCTGGGTGGTGTGGCTCAGTGGACTGAGGGTGAGCCTGTGAACCCAAAGGTCACTTGTTTGATTCCCATTCAGGACACATGCCTGGGCTGTGGGCCAGGTCTCAAGTTGGGGGTGTGCAAGAGACAATTGATCAATGCAAACATCGATGTTTCCCTCTCCTTCTTTCTCCCTCCCTTCCTCTCTCCCTAAATATAAATAAATAAAACCTTTTTTAAAAGTAAAAAAATAAAATAAAATATCCCACTTTCAGTACTGTTTGTTGAATGAAGAAATAAATGCTCCTGAACCCTTGGTCCCTGTGCTCTGCCTTCATGTTGAAAATCTCCCTGCCTGCTCCTCTGCATGTTGTATTCCTTCTATGCCCCTAGTTTCACATTCAGTCTCTTGTTGGACTTTTCCTTGGTGGCTCTTAACAGTCTATTTGGGCCTTACGTGCCTGCCTTTTCATTTCCCTGTGTTTAAACTTTTTTTTTAAATTTATTGATTTTGGAGAGAGAGGAAGGGGGAGGAGAAGAGAGAGAGGAATATTGATTTCTCATTCCACTTATCTATGCATTCATTGGTTCATTCTTATAGGTGCCCTGACAGAGGACCAAACCTGCAACCTTAGCATATTGGGATGACACTCTAACCAACTGAGCTACCAGTCCAGGGCCATTTCCCTGTGTT